CAAGCCTCACCCACACCAGCAAATTAGAATCTCTGGGGATGGGGGTCCAAGTGCTCCCTGGCTGACTGTTCTTTCTTTCTAACTTCATATTATAGAAAATGTCTAACATGTGCACAATTCATGTTACGGTAAGCTGTCAGGTGTCCACCACCCAACTTCAGTGTCCGTGAATTCATGGCCAGTCTGGGTGCATGGACAGCCCATTCTACTCCCCCTCTATCCCCTCTGGATTATTTTGAATCAAATCCTAGACATCTTATCATTTCATCCATACATATTCCAGTATATATNCCTGCAGAAGGGGCTCTTGGTGTCTTAAGACCTACTAATAGAAGCTCTCTGCCATTGGCGGTCCTTTCCTCATGTCCCACATCTCTGAGGATAGTTGATATATGACTCTCCTTCCATCGTCTAAATCCTATGTCTATGAGGTCATTTGGAAACACATATAGTTAACTAATAGTAAGTTGTGAGTGCCTAGATTCATTCTGAGGCTTGGTCAATAACACTTGATTAAACATGATAAATGAATGTTTATAGAGTTATGAAAAGATTCACCTGGACTTCCTGAAGAGTGACCATCCNTAAATGAATGTTTATAGAGTTATGAAAAGATTCACCTGGACTTCCTGAAGAGTGACCATCCTGCTGTGGCTCGCATGCGCGTGGACTCAGACAATGCATACATTGGTGTCACCTACAAAAATGAGGAAGACAAGCTGAAGGACTGGGAGGGTGGCCTGGATGAGCAGAGACTGAGTGCAGACAGCGGCTACATCATCCCCCTGCCCGACATCGACCCTGTTCCTGAGGAGGAAGACTTGGGCAAGAGGAACAGGCACAGGTAGACGTGGCCTTAGCCTCTCCATTTCCCCTCCCCCCAGCACACCTGAAGGAGAGACCCCCTGCCACAACAGTGAGGGAAGCGAGTTCTGAAATCCCCAGGGGGTCAGTACTTTGGAAAGTACTTTCCAGATGATTCTAATATGTCCCCCTGAGGCTAGGGCTGGGGTGTGTGTGTGGTTTGTACATGCTTCCCTAATGGAGAATCTTTGACTTAAGTCCTCTGGTAGTTTGATCAAACTGATACAGCAACTGTGATTATTGTGATTATGTAAGCTTCTCCTGCTGTTGTCTTAAATAATGTTGAACTGAGGAAAAAACTGAGAGAGGCTAGACTGGGTTATTTGATGCTACCTCAGTGGCACTTAACCCTGGCTGCAAGTTTGAATCACCTGGTGAGATTTTAAAACTACTGCTATACAAGCCTCACCCACACCAGCAAATTAGAATCTCTGGGGATGGGGGTCCAAGTGCTCCCTGG